GTGAACACTGAACAACTTTCATTGGCAAACTTTGTGGAGTATTTAACATAGCTCATGTGATGCCCAGGAGTTAATAAAACTGCAATAAAAAAAATATTAATTAAAAATAAAAACTAACCAATTCTAAACTTTTGAATGGTATATACGTTTGGGCTCAGTAAGATGTTGTTGTTTTTTTGGGAAAGAAAATAATACTTTTATTCAGCAAGGATTCATTAAATTGATCAAAAGTGACAGCTAAGACATTTATAATGTTACAAAAATATACTTTTAAATAAATACTGTTGTTTTGAACTCTGTATACATCAAATAATCCTGAATAATAGGCCTATGTATCACAATTTCAATACTGATAATAAAAATAATTGTTTTATGAGGAGCAAATCAGTATATCAGAATGATTTCTAAAGGATCACGTGACACTGAAAACTGGAGTAATGGCTGCTATCCCATCACAAGAATAAATTACATTTAAAAAGTACATTAAAACCCATTTAATCCCACCGTCCGTAAAAATGTTTTTCATTTGTAAAACTCTAAAAACCTTACTGACTGATGTTTTAGTGCACTTCCTACAAATATGGAAACAATAAAGGGTCTCAATTAAATATGTGCAGTTTCACATGGATAGTGCAAATTGTCACATGACCAGAGCAGTTGATTTCCTGTTTGCACCTTGAGAAGATGATGACTGCATCAAAGCTCCAAAACGAAAGGCTATTAAAGTGTTAACATCAGTGTTGGGCAAGTTACTCTGAAAATGTAATCAAATTACTGATTACTCCTTTTAAAAGTAATCACGTTGCTGTTCTGATTACTTTATTTCAAAAGTAATTAGTAATTAGTTACATTACTAGTTACGTTACCTTTTTCTCCATGAAATTTATGAAATCCCAGCATACACGCTCCCGATAAATATTGGTTATTAAAGCATCAACATTCACAGAACACTGTTATTTTTAACTAAAGCAGATCATAGAACAGTACAAGCACAGCGTTGAGCTTCTTGAGTCTGTTCAGTAAAGAGCGTTTTGATTGGTGGATTAAAAGCTCACCGCGATTAGCTGAACGGAACATCCTCCAAAAAAAGATATTTATGAATCTTAACCTGCCAGGAAGGTCTCAAAAATACCGCACACAAATTCAAAGCTGTCCACGCACATGTGACGATTTGCAAATGCAGATTCAACGATCCATAAATACATGTAACATCATTCATAAATGTGTGATGGAAATTAATTCAAGAACTTGAAATATACATATTTGTGTAAACATTTTAAATTTATTTAGGTAAGATGCTTTTGTGTGAGCATTTGAGGAAATATTTATGCTTTTACTTCTGTATTTATGAATTGGGTTTTGAATTTACGAATCGGATTTTGTAAATGTAAATTGTGCTGTGCATTTATGAATTTTGTTTTGTAAATGTATTATTTTTGAGGCTGATCTGGCTCCATAGCACCAGCACTTGCCCATCTGCGTGAGCTACATCCTCTTTACAATCTCTAGATTATAAAACACTGCATTCTGTCAGCAATGTAATGTGGCAGTAACGTATAGAGACCTCGGCTTGTAACTATACTCTAATTATAACGCGTTAAATTACTCCGTTACTAAAAAAGTAATCAAATTACAGTAACGCGTTACTAAGTAATGCGTTACTGCCCAACACTGGTTAACATAAAGATGTGACAAAGATTTTTGGTACACAATATCTTTAGGGTGTCTAGTATGAATTCACATATATTCAGTTTTGTTGAGTGTGGTCATAGAATGAGTAAACATCTTGATGGTCACAATAGTGACCGGTGGGATAACAGTGAACTTAACAATGAATAATATAAATCCAATTGTTAGTGAAAATTGCACTAAAATGTTGCAATGACAAAATATTGCACTAAATAAAAAATTCAAATGTAAGAAATAAGTTACAATATTGATGTTGTAATACTGGTAGCACTAATATAAAAATGTTATGATATATGTTACAAAAAAAGTAAAAATTTTGAAATATGTTGATGATTGTATTTGTTGTCTTTTATCTCAGTATTCCTATCAATGTTGTATAAGGTTTTTTTATGCATAATAGCAACCATAGAATGTAGTCAAACAGTTTAATATAGCTGGGCTAAGCTATATAATATTTTTTATGACTGCAGAAATATGTTAATTCAGTACACACATTATCCCTCCGGTCACAATTGTGACCGACCATAAAACACAAATTTTCCACAAAAAAATTACTGATTATTTCAAAGAGTTACTAATGACACTAATCAAGTTACTAATCATTTGGATATTTCATGTCTGGGAAAAATTTGGGATTAAATGGATTAATTACATTAATTACTAAATAAATGACATTTAAAAAAAGGAAAAAAAACAAGTGTATATACACTTGCTGAGTTGAAAAAGAAAATAATTAGCTAAATAAATTTTAAAGAGAGGTTTAGACTTTTTTTAGTCTAGTAAACTTCAGGGCTACTAGTACATCAATTTTTTTTTAAGTTAGACATGTACAGTAAATTAACATACTTTCCAGAAGGTCAACAATTCACAATTTTTATTGGTCTTATGAAGTATTCTAATTAGTTGAGATAGTGAATTGGTGGGTTTTTGTTAAATGTGAGCCAAAATCATCACAATTAAAAGAACCAAAGACTTAAACTACTTCAGTCTGTGTGCATTGAATTTATTTAATACACGAGTTTCACAATTTGAGTTGAATTACTGAAATAAATGAACTTTTCCACGACATTCTCATTTATTGAGATGCACCTGTAGTTCACTCAACCCCATATTTAACTTTCATTTTTTACAGTATGTATTTGTGCTACATTTATTTTGTTATAATTGTGTTACATTTAGTCAAATGTGTGCAATTACTGTTCATAAACTTTTTAGGGTCTACTCTATATATATCCTTCTTCCTCTTGTCCTCCATCACCTTGGTGGGCAAAACCACTGAGTGTGAGCTATGTGCTGGATCAGCAGGAGTGGGGGCAGTTATTTGCTCAGGGGCACATGGCCGGTTAAAGCAGGAACTCACATGAATAAACGGCATTCTCCTGATCCAGTGCAAAACTGTTTAGGGGATCTGCATCAACTCCATCTGTAATTGTGTTGTATGGCTTGTCACTTCACATGTCATGTATTGTCATTCATTTCATTGCATTTGCAATTGAAAGTCCCCGTTGGATTTTATAGAGCAATTCATTATTCTCAAGAAAAAACAGAGTATGAACCTAGGTTTGGAATGAACAACTCTCTTGCTGCTCATTCCATGTTTACGGCTTGTCAGCGAGTCATGAGAAGAATTTGAACGTGAGACACCAGAGGTGAGGAATGTTGTAGATAAGGCTAATTATGTCAAATGACACTGTGAGCGAGGGTGCAAAGGATCCCATTCACACAAAGACATACTGACAAATTATTAACACCACCAACTGATGTATAAGGTTCTGCGATTTCTTTTATACAAATCCTGGGCAGAATTTATTCTGTTCTTTCGTTAGTTTTGTGTTTGTATACAAAACACTCCATCTTCTAAAGCAGAAGCGCATTAGGAAACAATGTACAGCAGCAATTGTCACTTACTGTTTAAACATTTCTTTATCTAGTGTTGTGAGCTTATTGCTCATGTGACCAGCACCAAAGGGTTTCGTAAAAGATCATGTGTCTATTTATTTCTCATTCCCCCAGTCTCATACATTCACAGTACCAGAGTGTTGTGAAAATCTGTGTGAATAGTAAGTGAACCACTGAATCAGATGCAAATGATTCTTCCAAATGATTTGTCTTTTTGAATGAACCATTGAATCATTCACTCCACCAATTTGTTTAAAAACACAGAATCAAGAGAGCTAACACTACACTTTTAATTCCCTTGACTTCCATTGATACACATGCAAATGACATGTTTATACGGATTTTGCTACATTCCAAAGTTTGGTGAATGCTGATCAAATGAAGTTGTGTGACCAACAAAAGACTGATACATGTTGTGACCTCCTAGCTGAAATAAAAGACAGGAAACTGATATCTAAATCTGCAGATTTGCAGTGTTACAGTAAAGCATATTTTTACATTTTGGATATATTACATAGGCTTTTTTGAAAAAAAAGTTTGATGTCATCTTACAACCGCTGCAGTATTTAAAGAAATTTTGCATGCTCCAAGTCTAATGTGACCACGACTTTATTCTGGAAGCAAACAGTGCTTGGAAAATTTGTTGTAGTGAGTGTATAAAAGCAGTATCACACAAACATGCTGCCTCCTTGTTACTCTAGTAACCTCTCAATATTGCCCAAGATGTCATTTCTAGTTCTTTTATGAAATTTTTAAATTAATAATCGAGACTGGAGACGTGTAGCTACACATCTTTTTAACTAGTAACAGCAGAACCAGTGACATAGGAAAAAAACGTACACACAAACACACTAGCTCCTGCTCAGGACCAGCTTATGGCCAACTAAAAGGACAAGCTTAAACCAGCTCAAACCAGCCCACGCTTCAAAACACCTAACCAGCATATGTTGTTTTTTTTCCCCATTGGAGTAGCTACTTTCATAGAAATTCCATAGACTTCTATTGTTTTATATACAGGTAGTTTTAAATTACAGCCTAACCCAAAACCTATCCCTATCAGAAAACTGCATTTTACATTTTTTTAAACTTTTTTTTCTCCAAATGATGGCGTTCCCAAAAAGTCAGATTTGTCAGATTTAGCTCATTTTGTGGATATAAATTTGTCCCTAAATAATGGTTAAGTAGATGCAAACAAAATTCCATAGACTTCTATTGTTTTATATACAGGTAGTTTTAAATTACAGCCTAACCCAAAAACCTATCCCTATCAGAAAACTGCATTTTACATTTTTTAAAACTTTTTTTTCTCCAAATGACGGCGTTCCCAAAAAGTCAGATTTGTCAGATTTAGCTCATTTTGTGGATATAAATTTGTCCCTAAATAATGGTTAAGTAGATGCAAACACGCGCGCGCGCACACACACACACACACTGGTTTGTTTGATTATACAGTATAAATAAGGACATGTAATTTATGTCTATAGATTTGGATTTTTATATTAGGTTAATGATATTTTCCACATCCTAACCCAACCCTTAAATCTAACCCTCACAGAAACCTGCATATGCACATTATTAGATTTAAAGGGGTCATATGATGTTGCTAAAAAGTAACATTGCATTGCGTATCGCGCTGCATAAACATAAAACCATGTCTGGAGAAACGACAAACAACAAGTGCTACTCTACACAGCTCAAAACTCGCGGTTGAATCGTCAGTGGCAAATTATTTAAATATAAAAAACGTACTTACAGGCTGTGAGTCAGAAGCGCCAGACTGCCCCATGCACTTTATAGAAAGCATTGTAGGCTATACTCTCCCGGGAAACAGTCCTCATCCTCCGCAAAATGCGCTGCACACATCTGAATATTTGGGTTGTACTGTTCTGGAACAGTGTTGTAAATACAACTTAACTACTGATTTCTAGTTGTGTCCTCTTTTGGAAGGCCAGACAAAGGAGTTTTTGCTTTCACAACGAAACACACAGCGTCTTCACGACATGGCAGTGGCAGCAACAACAATACTACAGCGAGAATAAAAGTTACGCCTTCTTTCTTTGCGTTAACCATTGGGGCGGCGTTATGCAAATCTTCCCACATCCTGACATAGACATGTGGGGGTGTGTATACTACAGCGAGAATAAAAGTTACGCCTTCTTTCTTTGCGTTAACCATTGGGGCGGCGTTATGCAAATCTTCCCACATCCTGACATAGACATGTGGGGGTGTGTAAGAATGAGCCGTTTTAGGTAGGTGTGGTTGACTCTTAACTTTTATAAAGAATATCTCTTTGGATTTGAGACTTTAGTCTTTGCAACTTTACAGATCTTCTTTATGCACCAAGAGCTTGTAACACTCCAAAGAGTAAGGAAAAATTGAAATCGCATCATATGACCCCGTTAAATATAATCATGATTTGTCCGATTTATGAGCTATTGAGGACTAGTGAGGACGCATAAAATGTTCCGGTTAATATGTTTAAATAGATCAAGTTAATAAATAATTTTTTTAAAGAATATTCCAGTTGGTTTTCTTTGAAGACATCTTATATTTATGCTGATATCAAAGGCTTGTCTTAATATAGTTTTGTTCTAGATAAAGTGGCCTGGAGCAGTGGAGGTCCGTAAAAAACAACTTAGGTCATTGTAGGCTGTCTCAGTGGCTCATGCTTCAATCGCATCTTAAATCACAACTGTGCCATGAAAATATGCCAGGCCATTTGCGGCCAATAAAGGCAGAATTGTGATAAGAATAGAGCATCCTCTCTAGTCCCCCATACCAAGAGCCTGCTTTGCACGACCACATCTGATCCCTGTTGTACTGAGTTTAATTCTCCCTGTATTTTCTTCTTTCAGTTGTCTTCTATTCTAAGTCTTGTGATTCTTCTAAAAAGCCCACATGGCAGTTTATAACTCCAAGGTTTAAGATATCAGGGTGGAGGTTGAAAGAATGGAGATATTCCAGTTTGGCCCCAAAAGGGGTTGTTGGAGAAAAACAAAGCAGGATGGCTCTTACTGAGGGGTGTCAGATAGAAGTGATTTGATGTCTTCCCATTTGTTTCCTTGAATGATTTTGAGGAAGACTCAAATTTTCATAGATTTGTACAGACTTGCCAGTGACTGCTTCTTTCATTCACACCTGCAATCAAGTAGTCACATGTCCAACACATGCCTGTTTCCCATTGACTCACTGTCTGAGACTTTGTTGGAAATACCCTGCTATCAGTCCAATCAAGAGGGGAATGTGTATAAAGGATTGCTCAATATCATAACATGGGAGCAAAGAAAGTTTTCCTGGTTATTTTAAACATCATGCTCTTTGCCTTGTGCCCTTCCATCGGAAATCTGCTGCTTGATCTCAACGTACAGTCCAACCCGACTGATTAAACATTGCTGCCAATTCACTCTGTAGAATTCCACCCATGCCCATTTATTATGGCTTTAGTTAGGCGGAACCTGAGGATTCATAGACAACCACAGGGCAAGTAAGAAAAGTTACCACCCTGTCTGCCATAGCAGGGTGTTACCTCTCCGTTTCCTGCTGGTGACTTGTTTTTTACTATTGAAATAAACTAGGGGAGACCAAGGTGAAGGTATACACTGTCCTATTTGGGGACAGTAGATGTTTTTTTTGGAAATATTGTTACAGCTTTCCACATTTGCTCTTAATGTTTCCTATAAACTACTGGTCAAAATTTGGAATAATTAAGATTATTAAAACAGTGAAAACAGTAATATTGTGAAATAATATTACAATACTTGAATTGATTTTTTAAAAAGAATATGTTTTTTTATTATGTGATGGCAAAGCTGAACAGATACATTAAAACTGTGAAAGTAAAAACATGCAGTAGAAGTCGGTAGAACACAAAGGCAAAGAAAACCTATGCTCGTTTAGTAGTAGAACATATGCTTAAACATTTATAAGATATGCCTAAATACGCAAAGGTTGATCTTCCAGCTCTAGTCATTTGTATTCCTATCTTGTGTCAACACGTTTGCATACCTTTCAGATTGGGTCACACCTTTTGACACCTTTTCTCTGTTAATGTGACATCACTGCTCAGCCTCTCTGTAGTAAAACAAGGCTTTATGTTGCCATGGATTGACTTCGACCACAACTGGGCCGTTTTCTTAAATTGCAGGACTTTCAGTCAAAACCATAGAGCGCTCGTAGCTGCTGTGAGAGCTCCGGTGGATGTAAGCGGAACTGCAGCTGCTGGCCTGGGTTAAATGGCTCTTTTTCTCTTTTTTCACTTTTGATCCCTGAGCTCACACATTCCCATCATTCCTCATTCGCTCAGTTATTTATGAGAGCAGAGCGCACGCCTACTAGCTCATAACCCAACCAGACCTGAACACAACGAGGAGATAAAACACACACAGAAGACATTAGTTGGATTACTTGGATCATTACACATGCCATTAAAAGAATCCTTGTGGAATGAAAGTTTTAGTTGGTAAGTTCATCGTTAATGTTCATTCTACAGACATGTTGCTAAGTAAAAGTTAGAACAAAATTGTGTCAGGTTTATGGCGTTTAATTCGCTCGGAGCGTATTAATAGTAATAACGAAGATTTCACATTGAGCTTCTGTGAGCGCGCTGCTGGTCTGGATGATCACTTTTTATTTATTTTTTATTTTTGAATAGTTGTTGCTAAATGGAATGTGTTGTTTTGGTTTTATTTTGGAATTGCTATTATTTTATATATATTTTTGTAATTATTTGACGTAATTATTTTAATTTATATGGTTGTTTACATTATTGTTATTCTTAATTTTAACCATATGGTACAAAGTGGTTATGGCTGACCTGTCCCTATCGCAAGTTAATATAGTTGGTTTTGTCATTAAATATTTGCTTATTATTTGATTTAAGCACGTTAAAACATGTTGCCAAATAAAGTTTTGGGTGACAACATTTTTACAGTGTAAAGATGGCTTAGATTTATTTTATTGTATCTTATTTTTAAAAATCTTTTTATACTGTTGCTTAATATGACACTTTAAATGGATGATAATAGTTTAAAATAATGAAATAATAGAGCATTTAAAAAATGGTTAAAAAATAATTTTAAACCTTTTAAACCTGCTCTTAAACCTTACCTGTCTGAATTTAGTACTTTTTCGGTTTAATAAAACGACACCGGCTATATGTGTCTTACAACAGGTTATATGTAATGTTGTATTATATATCTTACAGCAGTTCTCTTTCTGTTCTATTTAAATTCTATATTTAGTGAATAGGGGCAGGCTGTTTACAACAGATTATATATGAAAAATTTTCCATCGCATACTTTGTTGACTTACAAAGACAGAGACACTTTGGTTGTGTATATGTGAGTGATTATTACATATGAATTATTACATATACTGGATAAATAGAACCAATAAGTAGAACAAGATTATTTTGTAGTTTTCATTTGACTTTGGCTAAATTCCAAAAGGCAATGAAGGGTTTAGACACCTGTCTGAATTTAGTACTTTTTCGGTTTAATAAAACGACACCGGCTATATGTGTCTTACAACAGGTTATATGTAATGTTGTATTATATATCTTACAGCAATTCTCTTTCTGTTCTATTTAAATTCTATATTTAGTGAATAGTGGCAGGCTGTTTACAACAGATTATATATGAAAAATTTTCCATCGCATACTTTGTTGACTTACAAAGACAGAGACACTTTGGTTGTGTATATGTGAGTGATTATTACATATTAATTATTACATATACTGGATAAATAGAACCAATAAGTAGAACAAGATTATTTTGTAGTTTTCATTTGACTTTGGCTAAATTCCAAAAGGCAATGAAGGGTTTCCAATGGATTACATCAGTGCAGTTAAGCTGTTGCTGCACTCTGAAAGAATGATAAAAACACAGGTTTGAGCGCTTACCCAACAGGCCACTGCCTTGTGTAAACATGCCTGGGATGATGGAGTCATGGTTAATGCCTTCCTCATCTTTCCATATGGGACTCCTGAACACCTTCTCTGTTCTGTGCTCTTAAGGGGCGGTCATATTTACAATTGCTTGTTGAAATTTCGAGAGCGAAAACCAGTCAATCCAATAGGAATCTGCAGTTTCAAATGATGGCGAAAAAGTTCAGTACATAGATTTTGCTAGTTTTCAAGATGGTTACGTAAATTTGCATGCTGACCAAAGCAGACAGTTTTGAAAGTGACTTCTGTGACTTCAGTTAGTCATTTCTACACAATTGACAATAGATCTTTTTTGCCCACAAAATTTCACTAATGCAACTGCGCCTTTAATCATAACCAGCAACGCTGATTGCTAACCATCTTTAAGTATTTCTGAGACTGTCATTTTTAGATTGACACATCTGACTTACTATTTACAGTAATTGTCTTTTCTTTTTCCCCCAGCTGGAACAAGAGATCCAAAGGATCTCAGAGGCCTACGACACTCTGATGAAAGGCTGCGCTAAAAGAGAGACTCTAGAGCATGTGCTTAGAAACAAGCTGATGGCTGAGATCAAGAGGCTGCAGCATTCAAGCATTCAAGCGGCAAAAGAAGCCGAAGCGGCTGACCAGAACCAGCATGTTATTGAGAAGCTCCTTCTGCAGAGTGAGTTCACGAACACAGCACTATTAAACCTTATTACTGCTTCACATGCTCTGGATACTTCTTAATCCACAGTTGCACTCCAAATGTGAAGATCTGTTTTTCTGTTGAGTAATTTTGCTTAAAGGGAATGTGTTTCCAATTAGAATATTCCAAGGCAGGAATTTCAGTCACATAACAGTGCCTTAGTTGATCTGAACAGTCAGAGAAGAGGATTAAATGTCAGAAGTGACTTTAGCTTTGTATGAGACAGATAACCACTGTCACTGCTCTCGTCTGCTTCACATGGACAATTAATGAAATGTTCTGATCAGCGATCACTTGCTGTTCGCTAAGAGTGGGAAGATGATGACAGTGACTGATGGGAAATAAGCAAAACAGTCTGAAGCTCCGGGATGTGGGTCAAAGTGAGAGTGGATCACTGCTTCTCCTTCCCTCTGCATTCCTTAAGCGCTTGCGTAAATGAGGTGCTCCGGATATTGCGATTGAATTCCTGAGCAGGAAGTCAATGGGGAGTGGTGCTGGAGAGGGCCTGCATAAACATTCCTTCAGCTTCTTTCTCACGTCCTCACATAAATCTCTATGCTTGTTATGACTGAGCATAATGGATTAGTATGTACTGAAAATATGCTTTTGGCAGATGCTTTTATCCAAAGCATATCCAAAGCAGTTCTTGCATTTGAACCTAACTACAAGCTGTCAAAAGTTAATTTACTATAATATAATATAATATAATATAATATAGACTAATGGTTGCAGAACTATTTAGCTTTAGCTTTAATTTATTTTTAGCTTTAATTATTATTTAGCTTTAATTGTATTTTTATTTTATTAGTTGCCTGCAATAATCTGTTTGAGTTCATTTCAGTTTTATTTCAATGAATGAAAACAATTTTAATAGTTAACAATTTCAACTAAGCACTTAAATTTAACCTACAAGAATGGCTTGGAACTGAAGCAATACTTTGCTAGATTAATACATTACACAGATGATTTATCAAAACAGTACAAATCATGTATAAATTAAAATATTAAATATTAAAAACAAAATAGATGAGCCATATTGTGACATCACAGCCAAAATGCCACATCCACGCCACTTTTTTAATATCAAATAACACCCATGAACGTGCCTTAACGTGGCATGTGTGGACCATCTTCGGCTCTCAAAGCAATGGACATATTCATTTAATTTACAAACAGATCTCACATTTTTTTTCTATCGTCTCTGACAGATGAAGAACAGCAGCTTCAGTGTGCACATCTGGAGCAGGAGGTTCAGCATCTGCGAAACGAAGTGGAGAACCATCAGTGCAGAAGCGAGGCCCTGGAGATGGCACTGAGGTCCACGCAGACACGCAGCCAGCAGATGTGGATGGAGCTGCAGAGGAAGAGAGCGTATGTGGAGAAGGTTGAGCGTCTGCAGGGGGCTCTAACTCAGCTGCAGGCGACCTGCGAGAAAAGAGAAGGGCTGGAAACACGCCTGAGGACACGGCTGGAGCAGGAACTGCGGAGCCTCCGAAATCAGCAGGTACTGAGACAAAATGGTGCTTTGTTTTTAACTGTTCTGATGTTTCTAAGCATTGTATTTTCGGGCTGTTTCCTTCCAGTGAAGCTAAGAATAGCTTGAGACTTCAGATCAGGACATTGCAGCAATCTTACACTTTGTTTGCTCTTCTCTGTCCACAGCGGCAGCCACAGTCAGTCTGCAGAGCGTCCCACGTGAGTGTCTTCACACTGCAAGAGCTTCTGCGGGAGAAAGAAGAACACATTCTGTCGCTGGAGGCCGACAAGACGCGCTGGGAACAGAAATACTTGGAGGAGAAGACCATGAGGGAGTTTGTGATGGATGCCGCTGCCACTGCTGCAGCTCAGAGGTAAAAAAGGAGATCAGTGTCAAAACCTTCAGAGTATATTGTGCTTTTTAAACCAATTTCTAATTGCTTTCATCCTAAACTTTACAGAGACACAACCATCATCAACCATTCGCCCTGCCATTCGTTCATTGAGGAGCTCCCATCATCTGAGTACAGGAACCAGGAGTTAGAAAACAGGTAAGAGAGCCACCCTCAATGCACCTAAAAATACATTTCAGTTGTGTTTAATGATCCATTTTGGATTTCAGGATTGTATAGGACTCATAAGTTTAATATGTTGTCAGGATCCGTGCCCTGTACTCCCAAATCCTGGAGAAGGACACAGTGATTAGCATCCTGAAGCAGAAGCTGCAGCAGGAGCAGAAGAGAGAGTCAGGTGCTGAGCCCTTCATCACCATCGCTCATTCAACGGTCACACACACTGCCCAGGGCAAAGGTTAGTGTCAATGCTAAGTAGCGTTCACTAGCTAAGATTTTACCATTACCATTTTTACATTAGTGTTCTCTGCTAATTTATGTTTACTGCTTAAAGGGTTAGTTCACCCAAAAATGAAAATTCTGTCATTAATTACTCACCCTCATGTCGTTCTAAACCCGTAAGACCTCCGTTCATCTTCGGAACACAAATTAAGATATTTTTGATTAATTCTGAGAGCTCTCTGACCCTCCCATAGACAGCAATGTAATTACCATAATCAAGGTCCAGAAATGTAGCAAATAGATCGTTAGCATATGCTGTTTACATTCAGTGTATCCTCTACAAAATGGCACCAGGGTGACGCGGAGGAGACAAATTGTTGAATAAAGTCGTTATTTTTGTTTTCTTTGAGTACAAAAAGTATTCTCGTAGCTTCGTAAAATTACGGTTGAACCCCTGATGTCACATGGATTATTTTACCGATCTCCTTGCTACGTTTCTGGACCTTGATCGTGGTAATTACATTGCTGTCTATAGGAGGGTCAGAGAGCTGTCAGAATTCATCAAAAATATTTTAAAAATTGTGTTCCGAAGATGAACGGAGGTCTTACGTGTTTAGAACGACATGAGGGTGAGCAATTAATGACAGAATTTTCATTTTTGGGTGAACTAACCCTTTAAGATTTGATAGTTGTTGCTTGACTAACATTACCATTAGTGCTTACTGTTAACTAGTGCTAACTAGTTAAGAATTTACTAGTTTAGTTATTAGGTTTTACTAGTTGCTAGCTAAGTTAACTTATATTGTGACTAACTTTAGCATTAGAGTTCACTGCTAGTTAGCAGTTACTAGTTAAGTTAGTGTCTGACTAACATTAGCATTGATGTTTACTATTAATCATCTTTTACTTGTTAGGTTAGTGTTCACTGATAATTAGTGTTTATTTAAGCCTACTAGTTAATAGCTTTGCTTTTACTAGCTATGTTATTGCTTGACTAACATTAGCATTAGTCTTCACTGTTAATGAACTTTGACTAGTTAGTTGCTTATACTAGTCATTAGCTAAGCTTTTACAAGGTAAGTTATTGTCTGACTAAAATTGGCATTAGTGTTCACTGTCAATTTATTTTTTACTAGTTACAATGGTGACTGACTAAAATTAGCATTAGTGTTCACTCTTAATTAGTAAAGTTAGTATCATTAGTGTTCACTGCTAAGCATTTCTGAGAATAACATGCTGAGAAGAAATTGTTACAATGGAAATTGTTCTTTTGGATCTTTTTTCCAGGGAAGATTCATTCCAGTGACCCGGCGATTGGTACGTCCCATTTGTCGCTCGCTCCGGTAGCAGCCCTGGGACAACCTGAACCAGTTCTGTTAGAGAAACAGATGACAGATCAAACCTCCCACATTGAGACCAGCTCTGGTGAGTCAACTTTTAGCCATTTCTGTGTGATATGGGATATGAGAAAATAACTGAAAATATTACACACTAATTGAGAGATAAAGATTAAAAGTCATTTGGGATATTTTTAAATAGGTCTACCACTGATGGCTTTCATCTGATGTAGTCCCTCATTTTGTGATAACTGATTAATATTTGTTAATATTTTTCATAGATAACATTCAGAAAGCACCATCTGCTGTGGACCTTTTCAAGGGCCTGGATGATGTGACGGCTGAAGCAGTGGAGATCTTCATTTGATGAAGAACACTTGGACAAACTGCCCTGCAAAATAAATGTTGAGGAGCTCTGGGAGAGATTAAATGACACCAAATCACAATACTGTTGTGAAGCAAGAGTCCAGATAAACAGCAGAGCTGCTCAAAAATCTCATGTGAAAGAGGGAGCTGAGCTCTTCTCTTAAAACTACATCTCCAGTCTGCTATGTTTTGAAAGATAAGACAGTAAACTGAATTACAGAGATGTTTGCTGCTGGTGAGAATCCTATATTTTTTGGTATTTACAGCCGTCCCGTACAGGAGGGTGGACACAAACTACTAAACTGTCCTCACTATTGCATTGTCCCTCGTCTCAGAAAACCTGTGGTAACTTCACCACATTCCAGTTCAGTTGACTTTCTTCTTGAGGCTGATGCTCTTACATGTATCTTTTCCACCCCACCTTTATCGATTGTTATAAATGGTTACATTTTTCTCATGTTTTTCTATTTATGGCTGCTACGCCCTTCAGCAAAGTTATTCTTTTACATTGCATTTCTAGGATCGGCATGCTTAACACTGTCACGATGTGCGAGACAAAAACATTATATAGACCTAGTAGTCTAAAAGAACTGTAAGAGAGAAATTCAGCAAAGTTATTCTTTTACATTGCATTTCTAGGATCGGCATGCTTAACACTGTCACGATGTGCGAGACAAAAACATATAGACCTAGTAGTCTAAAAGAACTGTAAGAGAGAATACCAATTGTATTATATTATAATTAGCTTTCTTGTATTTTGTTTTTGAATGTGTTCGCTCTTAAATGGCACATTTGCTGGTCAAGGTGTCATTTCAAAGTAAATATTAATATAAATTTTGTACAATTGTTTTGTTGAGTTGGAACGTAATGCTGAGGAACTGATGCCAAAGAGCATTTCAGTAAAGTTCATGTGTTCAAAACACATGGCCAAGGGTTGACCTCTTCTATTTAATCAATGAAAGATGTGAATGTTCTGAAACATTTCATACATTTACAATAAAGCTATTAATATATAAAACCATGCGTCACTTGGTTTGTGAAGCCCTTGGGAAATTTTGGTTAGTTCCAGCAAGCACCATCTACTGGATTTCAGCCCGTTTCACACATTCCAGGTTTTCTCTCACACATACAGTCCGAGAAAGATGAGTAATTATAAGCGAATACCAGTGAGGGGCATTCCAGCGCTCATATTTCACCAGAGAAAACCTCACGCTAGTTCCCTCAGGCTCACCTTTAGCCACATTTTATACTCAAGACTTCTGAGGCATTCAGACAAACATTCTGCTTTTGAGAGAGAACAATAGATAACTCGCTCAAAGCTGACTTACCCAACGCTGACTAACCAATCCGGCCTCCGAATACTACTGTCCCTGACAAAGCCAACTCAATATTTCTTAGTGTAGTCACATGCTTTGAAACATGGTATTGATGTCACACTCTGTTTCCAAATATAGAACAAGGCTACATCTGTATTAGATGTGATGTTTAGCTTTTAACTAATTCCTCTTTGTGACAGTAATGAGAGGCATCTTAGACTCACACTGCTCATGAGGAAGTTGTTTATGGGTGATCTTACTGTAAGTCAGTTGTTTACAGTACAAGGTACTCAACTGTGTAAAAACCGGGCAGCTCACACATACCCAACATGCAATCCTGCTAAATTTGGTATGTTTTTAGGTTCAAATATCTGAACATGTCATGAAAACACACTGAAACTTTGGAATTCAAAACTTTATTAAAATATGGAGATAAAGTTTTATAAAGATTTTTAAAAGTTTGTTTTTATTTAAGAAAATATTTGAGATTCTGCACAAACATTTTGCTGAAAATATAACTTGATATAACTTGTCACATGCTTAAACATATAACATATGCTGATAATATAACTTGTAATGAAGCAAAAATTATCAAATAATAAAATTAAAACCTCTCAAAACTGACTTGTAATAGAAGGTGTATAAATAAACCAATTAATGTTTTAATTACTAAAAAATCTTTAAATACATTTTCTTAAAGGGGAAGGTGTAGTTTATGGTTTTAATTATACTTAGCTGAAATTAAGAAGTCAATGGGAGGTCCATATCATTGGGGTACAATGGGACAAAAAATGCACAACACATTGATGTCATCTATGGTAAGTAAGCTAAAGCATGCTAGAATGCTTCACTATTTATGGTATTTCACAGACAAAAGTTTGATTGATGAAGGAATTTCAGGAATTCAGGTCTCAGTTGTAATAAGAGTGAACAATGCTTGTTATTGAAAATAAGACGGCCATGTCTTACATATTTACTACACTAGTAATGCCTCTGATTATGACCGCCATTGTTCATTTTTGCATTTATGCATAAATAAAAGCATGTTCCCAAACAGACAATTTCCCCATAAAACTTGAAAACTGTAACTTGCCAAGTTACAAACTACTGAACAAAAAGATACTAACTAAAGGTAGCTAAGGTTTATAAGTGGAACATATCTGTCAAATTTTAGATTTTTAAGAATATTTACCATTAAAAACAGTATTTATCTGGCAAAAGAAATAGATGATATCAGCATGACAGCATCAATGTACACTACAAACAACTAACAAAGCAAACAAACAAAAGTGCACCATGAATTAATTAACACTCGAGTTTTAATGAAAACTCAAGGAAATTGAATTCCTGTAAAATTTCATTCAAAACTACCCTAAATCACTGGACTGCCATACCTACATTAAAAAAGTGAAGAAGAAGAAAAAGCAAGTCAGACAATGGAAAGTATGATTGGTCAGTAAGGCATAAGGGGGAATTGTAGTTAAATGACAATTCAAATGAATAATTGAATAATTTTTTGATCTAGGTTGAATACCTTTTAAAGCACATTTAAAGCACATCTGCTTTCTTAAAGCAGACTTTCAACATAGATCACTGTCAGTAAGGGCCTTCTTTATAAAAGTAAGGACAGTCTTTATAAAAAAAAAAATATATATATATATATATATACAGTATATATATTAAAAAAATGTAAGTGACTACATACAGTAATGGATTATCGTGACTCAGTATCAGAACATCTTAAGTACCGTTTATAAATCCTAACAGCAACTGATGAACAGAAAACAAGAGGGAATAGCTCTTCATCATGTGGAGTTCATGACCTTGTCTATATACCCCGACTATATTCACATGTGCTTTCAATATTTGCAATAAACCATCTTTAACCAAATAACATTTTAACAGGCAAATATGATGACGACACTGTGGCACTGGATCTTCATAACCAACACAAGAACAAACTTGGCTCCAGGTGAGCTTATGTAAACGGAGAAAATCTTGGTTGGAATGAAAAGGTTTAGCATTTTATGGCGGTTACAGCCTGTGTGGGAACCAGGAAACGTGCCATACACTGCAATTCATCTTGTTTATAAGCGCAGTGGAGGCCTTTTCCTCCTCACAGAGAGAAATGCTGCCAACATTCTTTCGACTTTTGAGCGCTTGACATGTTTTACCCTTGGCTTTCTTCCTCAACATGAACAAAATGGAGGGCTGTGGAGCGTTTGAAGGTCACATGACACATTCCTGAAGCTTGAAATGTGGAACGCCAGCAAATATGAATTTTTCTATCCGTTTGAGCAAGGGTACAGTAATCCGCCTTACAAATCAGAATGAAAGCGGTTTGTTGAAAAACAACATTAGATTAGATGTTATATGACTGTTGGGTCAGCACAATCAGCCAAGAGCCAAACAATTCTGAAAAGCAGATTAATTTTCAAACGAATCCAGCATGAATTAGGTCAGCTTGCTGTCCTGGCACATGCTGGTCGGTTGTGCTGTGCTCTCAACGAGTAGATTGATTACTTCAGCCACACACATTTCCAGCATTGATTGATGACTGGATGGAATAACCTTCAGTTTGGACTCTCTCTGAATGATAGATCTGAAACATGCCGCAAGGGGAATAAATTAAAGCAATCTATATTTGGAAAACATTAATACTTTTATTCAGCTGTATTAAACTGATCAGATGGGATAGTAAAACATTTACTATGTCACAAAAATTCTATTTACTTAGCAAATTACTAAGCACCACAACTGTTTTCAACACTGATGGTAATAAGAAATGTTTCTTGATCACCAAATTACCACATTAGAATTATTTCTGAAGGACCATGTGACACTGAAGACTAGAGTAATGATGCAGAAAATTCAGGAATAAATTACATTTAAAAATAGAAAACATAATTGGAACATTTTTTCCAGTCATCTCAATGATAAAAAGTGTCCCCAATTCACCTGAATGTATATACTACCTACTTTACCAAGTAATATTTCAACCATTTGTTTTTAGTTCTATAAATCCTTTATATGTTTACAAGAAGGTCTGTTGACTGATACGATTGCTCCATAACTGCTCAAAGACAGCTGTGCTTGTAATAAAAAACCTTGTTTTAGCATTCACCAGCATCCTATGGTTTCAACAGAAAAATAGCTCCAGACTGAAGGTTTCAGATGTCAGCCTGGGTTAGTAAGGCTCCATGATGCTGTGGCATCAAGAACATGTTTCTAATAACATGAGGCTCACGTCGGTAAGACAAAATAAGGCTCAGGGCTGGAGAGAAATGGATACATTTCACATTTAGGCATGACATGAATTCAATGGTTTTTCGAGCCCCCACAGTGAAGTGTTGTGTTTCTGACTTCTCCCTCTCCTGCCCAGGGTCCTGTGTTATTATTTGGTAATAGTGAGCACATGGCAAAGTGTGCGTCAGGGCCAAAAAGCGTGCTCTACACTCGATTACCATGATTGCTGTGGAGCATTCATGCTGGATTTTCCAGTTTTTGCACAAGGCTTTCTTTCAGTTTCATGGAACGGCTGAATTGCTGGTCAAGAGGCCAGGGGTTGAGAGAGGCACGCTGGGATATTTCTGGTTTAGTGGAAGAATTAAACAGTAAGAGAGGCTGTGAAAATCCCCAAAGTCCTAAAAAAAATCCTTGTTTTTCAGTGGATTTTGAAGTTCATTCTGCTGTAGTAAATAACATGATTTAAGAAGAAATGAATGTGACAAATAATGATTGCTAAAAATTCAGCTTTGCCATCACAGGAATAAATTACATTTCAAAATATAGTAAAACAAAAAACATTTTAAAAACTCTTACCAACACCAAATTTTTGAACAGTAGTGTATGATGCACTGTATATCAGTTTAGGACATCAAGAGTCAAATATATCATATCAATATATTATAACCAAACTGCAAATACTTCTGTAACTATATAAATATATAATTATTATGAATGAAATGTGTGAAACACATGCAATTTAAATTGTGGATTATTATTATTGGTTACAAATTGTTCAACTAGTCATCATTCATTCAAAATTAAATTCAAAGCCATATTGATTTTTACATTTTATATTGTTAAATATGGTTCCATCAAAGCAGCATTAGATAGATTAGAATTAAACTGTAAAAATACTGCCACCTAGTGTAACATTGCAATGCAAAGTCAATGAGATGGTGAACTAATGAAATAAAAATAAATACTCAAGCCTATAAATGTTTTTTTAAATATATATGCACATAGAAGAAGCAACAAGCAAAAACATTATGAT